AAAAAAAAAAAAAAAAAAAAAAAAAAAATCTAAAAATTACAGTAAAAGACAGAGCCATAATCTCCCTCAAAATATTCCCCCTCACTTCAGATATTTACCCCACTGCTCTTGCCACTCTGAAGCAGTCCTGGATGTCTTTTTCTGTCTTTATGAGGAGTGGTCAAAAATGAGATGAGTGGCTGGGGCTGAGTGCCATCTAATGGAAAAGTAGGCTTGTAAAAACATGACACTCATGCAACGGATATAGCAGCATGCAATTTCTGGCTCTTCCCCAAAGTCAAAAGGACCATGAAAAGGAAACATTTTAAATTGATTTGGGACATAGAGGCAGCCAGGACAGTACAACTAAAGGCACTCGGGAAAGAGGACTTCCAGAATGGCTTAAGAAAATAGCGAGAACAATAAGTTTGAAGCAGTGGTGGTGGTGGGATGTTGAAGAGGAATCATGGCAATAATTTTTAAAATAAATTTAAACATGGGCTGGGGATTTAGCTCAGTGGTTCCACCACCTGCTTCAGAAGTGTAAGGTCCAGAGTTCAATCCCCAGTACCAAAAAAAAAAAAAAGAAAAATTTAAACACATACTATATTTTTTGTCAGTTTGTATGATAGAAGATGAATAAGCTCTAGCCACCCAGGAGGCTGACTCAATACTGATTTCAAGAACAAATGGCAGAGGAATGCATAAAATCCAATTCTATTACTTTATAAGCAGGAGAACCCCAACTTGTTAGATGTCGGAAATCAGCAGGAAGCAAGGAGGTCTCCAGTCAAATATGGAGTCCTCTAGGTGACCAAGTGGATGACACCAACCAGAGACCTGGGTTCCTGGGTCAGGACAAACATCTGCTATCTGCCCTTGGGCTAAGGCTGCAGAGGCTTGAGCTCTCCTATCTGGACAGCAGTGAACAGTTCCTGTACTATGGCTCATTCATAAAATGAGCATTACAATTACTTTGACATCAAATAGTCATTAAAGAAACCAGCTAGTGAAATTGTAGAAAATGGTTTGGTGGTTCATCTTTAAGAAAACATGTATTTTAGCTTTTGAAAAATGCATAAAAAACACTTTAACCACAACTAAACAATAAAAGTTGCTATTATGATGTAGTCAGCAGCAAGACCGTTACTACCATTCAAAGCAAAAGAAAAACAGGTGTGTTTTTATAAAAGTAGCTATCGCTTCCTTTGGCTCTGACATTCTCCCATGTCGTCTTCTCCTTAAAGAAAAGGTGGATTTTTTGTTGATCTCTTCGTCAGAGTGTCTAACCAGGTTGCAGTCAACATGTATAAGCAACTGGGTTACAGTGTGTACCGGACAGTCATAGAGTACTACTCGGCCAGCAACGGGGAGCCAGATGAGGATGCCTATGGTAAGCACCATCTACAGTCGACTAAGTTAAAACACATTCCCCTTAGAATCTGGTGGAACTTGGGATAAAACCTTTAGGGGGACTTTTCCTATACATTTTAAATTTGACACAGAATGTTCTGCTGTTTACTTACCTTAAACCCTGCTTTGTAACAGATATGAGGAAAGCACTTTCCAGGGACACAGAGAAGAAATCCATCATCCCGTTACCCCATCCGGTGAGGCCTGAAGACATTGAATAACCTTGGGCAGTGGTTCTTAGGCAGATAGATGTCCCAGGTAGTTTACAGATGGTATTATTTTCATTGGATGATCTTGGAACTCTTAGATTAGGAGAAAAGTAATAATTTAGGTCTTTAAAAAATACAGGTTATAAAGTTTATTTTAAATCTTCTTTCCAGTTATCAGTATCACACCTATTAAAGTTATTCACCATAATGAAATTCAGTTAAGGCCACTAGGACAGTTCCACTGTCATCATTCAAAATGTTCACTGTGTGCCAGGGAAAAGACTTGCTCCGACCACCTCCTAAATTCTGTGCCTGAGAGCCACTGCTGCATATATATATTTATATTTTTATTTTGTTTTGAACTGTCATTTGAAGCTTTAAAAGCATATATGAAATGTATAAATCCAAAATGTCTAATAAAAGTCATTACTGACTTGAGTGTCTTCTGGACATCTGCACAACTAAATCAGGACTATTAAGGTTCATCATTTAGGATGTATAGTTTCTCACACTGTTTCTATACAGAACATTTTTCAAGAGCACATTTGAAATAATCCCTGCCCAGCACATTTAAACTTACTGCATGTAATTCTTCCCAGTTACTTGTTTTCAGACTGTTGGTCCTGAATTGTTTTCTCCTCTCAAGGTAGTTTGCTTAAATCCTGCCTTTCTTAAACAAAAACACTTCAGTTTTTTGTTTTAAAAGAAAGAACTCATTCTTAAAGGCAAGCCATGCACAAGTCACTAGACTGTAGGCCAATTATGTATTTTCACAGCTGTGGTAAAGTATCCTGTGAGTGACAAAGAGAAACATATATGTGGAATGGTTCACGTCTTTTGCTTTATTGTTTGTTTGTTTATTTTTTGGTACCAGGGATTGAACTCCATTCCTTGCGCTTGCAAGGCAGGTGGCGGAACCACTGAGCTAACTCCCTGGCCCCACATCTTTTAACAATAGAAAGGAGTTGTTTTGGCAGAGTTGAGGATGGGAGACAAATGAATCCTTTATGTTCATACTGGCACATGCTTGTCCTAACTTTGAAAACGTGACTGGTAACTGATCTTCCTCTTTCGTAGCCATGCAATATATACAGATAATGCTAGGCTGACCAGGGCTTAGTGACTGTTTCCATCACCCCTTGCCTCTGCATACTTAGCAAAGGATATTAAATCAGATTGTCCTTGCCGACCTCAGAGTCAGAACTCAGTAGTCAGAACCACTGATATCCAACCTGTGACTAAAGCAGAATCCAAAAGGATTTATCTGAAGAGTTCTATTTTCTTTTGCCCTTTAACACTATCTTATTTTCAAGACAGAATTTATATTTTATTCCCTTGGATAATGATATTTGCATATTTAATAATTCATTTGCTCACTAATGGTGCTGAGAGGCAAAAAAAATTGCAGGACAGGTTAAAGGAAGCAATTTCAGAAGAGTTCTGCTGGAAAATGTGAGCACGATACTAGTGAGTATGCTAGCACTCTCACCTACATTAAGTTTCACTGTTCAGCATAGAGTTCCTAAGGTTTTTGTCCACATGCTCTATGCCAAGGGCAAGCTTAGTGTGGCAGGCAGGGGTCATGAGCAGACAGCCCAGCACTGTGGCACACTGGGATTCTGGGTAAAACAACTGCACTCTTCATGAAGTGCATTGAACAGTCCATGGGGCAACATCGCTATGAAGATATAGAGTGTACAGAAACATGTCAAAGGCTCCAAGAAACCCATTATAAGGAGACTCAATTAACAGGGTATAAACTTGAATCTAGGAGTTCCCAAGCTTAGCTATTGTTCTTTAAACAAGCTATTACAAAGCCCAACCAGCTTGGGAAACTGATGATAATAAAACTGAAATTGGAAATTGTAGTTGGTAAAGAAAGAAAAACCTTTTTAAGAAACAGTCACTGCAAATTACTTTCCAAGTAGTATTTTTAAAAGCCCTTAGCATAAATGATCCTATAAAAGCATATTTAGATGCTAACATCAATCTAAGCACATTGAGTTCTACAAAAAAAATGAACATACTTAGAAAATGGCTGGGAACAATAAGCATTTACAATGTACCACATATATTTCTTTTCTAATCTTCAAATGTGCTATCAGTACTAACCCATTTATTGAGTAAGGAAAAAGAAAGGAAAGGCAAGATATACGGTTACTACTTATAGTGTTGGAAAGTGAACTCCAGTCTGTGTGGCTGTGAAGGCAGTAAATTTAGAGGCTTTAGATGAATGCATAACATATCTTTAGGAAGCAGCTAAGAGAAAATTACACCTGAAAAATTAGAGTGTAACCTTAAAACTTTCTTTAAAAGGAATGGAAAGTTTGCAGGCCCATTTAGAATAGATGGAGACTATATTTCTTAAAGCAGGATGTGGGAAGAGAGGTAGAGTCACAGAATTCCGGCAGTCCCTCTAATAAGCCCAGTAGCACTTTAAAAACAGTTCGAAAGTGCCAGAGATTCCAAACAATTCTTACTGGTGAGTATAAAAACTTTCAGGAGTCATAAGTACTGCAAACTATTAATTTATGAAAATAAGAAAACATCTGTCGATATAAAAAAGATCAAGATTCACTCTCATCGATGTCCTTATCTGGATCCTGCTCAGCAGCTTCCTTTTCTTGCTGCTGTTTCTTCCAGAGCTTGGCCATGGCCAGCAGTTTGAGGTTGGGCTGGTTAGCAGCATCCTCAGGAAAGATGTAATCATAATATTCTTCCCAGCCTGCATCAGACTGCAGAGACAAAATGAAGGTGAGGAAACATGGGCTCAAACACTCAGGTTTTAGAGTTCTGATTCTACTTGTCCTCATTTTACAAAACAAGAGAACCTACTACAGAAACAACAAAGTTGGGTCTGAAAGACTAGGAGTGGCTGTAACTGATGCTCATCAGGAGGGAACTGAAAACCTGGTAAAAGTTAAGCACACCTCCTGCATAGTCAACCAAGACAGAGTTTCCGCCTTGCAGTCTCGTGTTTAAGGACTAAAAAGTTTAAAGCATTTTAAGGAGCATTTATCCAGGATCAGAGCCTTAAATCTATGCATTACTATCTCGATCTCCTGCACACATACCCTCCTTCCAAATGCCTACCATTTGACTACCAATGTGATTTCCCAACACTCCTGTAAGAGGCATCACTCCTCCTTGCGTTCTCTGTACAGAAACAGCCTTGGACAGGTTTTCTTCCAATCCCAGTCTCTCATCCACCTGTGTGAGCTGCCAGCAGTAGCAGGCCATGTTTCATGCGTGAAAGCCTGTGATTTCCACCACCCTCCTTCCTGTTGCCTAGAAAGCCATGGGTGCATTCACTTCTCTCTTAAGGTGGAGTCTCACTTCCTACCACACTGACTTCCAGTTACTGCTACAGAAATTTATACCAACTGCATGGACCCCCCGGCTCAAGCATCACCAATAAGCCTTTGCCAACCCTTCCCCCATCCATTCTGGCTGTGTCCTCCTGGCTCTCTGCTTGAATCCTAAGACTACAGAACCAACTGGAAAGCACAGCTGTCAAAGTCAGAATCCTTGGACTTTTAAGGCTCAGCTCTTACCCCATCATCGGCCTGAACCTTTCGTCTCTTCTTGACTTTCTCTGGCATGAGTTTGTCCACTCTTTCTTTATCTGATACAGTTCCAAATTCATCTTCAAAGCTTCGCCAGGATTCCAGCAGCATAAGCCTTTCTTCCTTTTCTTCACAGTTCCGCATGGTTTTGTTAGCTTCTTCATAGATTTGTCTGCACTTCGTGATGCTTTCTTCTTTCCCAGAAGATAATTCAAATTGAGCAAAACTGATCCATACCTTAGGAAAAATTATGGAAACAAATTAATCACAATGATGTAACAATAATAGTGATTTCTAGTTCATGACATTTGTTTGAACATGGTTTCTAGTGTTCCACAGAGTGTATGTAACACACTGAATAATGCTTCATTACTGAGTATTGAAGCAATCTGCTGCAACGGAAAGAATTTTATCTTCTCTATCCTGTGATATCCAAGATATTCACAAAGTATAAGCAATGACCTAGGATAAGCATAACATATCCCAAAATCTTCCAAGACTTGCTAATTTTCTTCAAAAGCAAGAAAAGTCATTTAAAATAGATATCCTAGACACTAAAATTTAGAAATACAGTGTTTTTTTTAGTACTCTGAAGCAAAATCAAAGACTATCTACAAAACACGGAATACCTTGACATGTTGTGTCCGCTGAAGCAGCTGTCGGTAAAGATTTCGTGTTCTTTCAGTTTCTTCCTGCTCAATTTCAAAATCAATGTATGATTTCCAAAGCACCTAAGAAAGATTAACAGGTCGGCTCTATGATTTAGAAGGCAACATGTCCTGTACAAAACACAACTACTATCTATATCCTGGAGAGTGAGGCTTTTACTGAACAACAGCCTGCTGAAAATGAGGCTAGAATTCTAGGGAATAGGTAAAAAAGGTCTTGGATTCAGTTTTAGGTTCTTTTGGAGTTTTTCAAATGTTCAACTAAAAAAAAATGTGTTTCCCAGGTATTTTCATGATCCTATCACACACAATTGACTTCTGAGAATTAGGCTCAGATTAGCCAGTATGTATGTTCTTACCCCCATGGAACATTTCTTGCTATTTGAGTTCAACTCAACAAGTGTTCACTGAACAGCACCCTACCTTCAAGGTGCAGCCTGTTGGGGCACAAGACTGAATGTGCTGTGACCTGGACACCTGGGAGTGGGCTGTCTTGGGGACAGCTGAGGCCCACAGCTGGGCCAACAGTACACGAAGCGCCCTGGCCTGCTGTGGTCGGTGGCCTGAGCCATTCAATATGAGGTCACAGTGCAAGATGGTAAGGCTGCCTGGGTTCTGGTTGCCTGTGAGATTGAAGCAGGTCCTAGCTGTGGTTTGGCGCCACCGTGTGGCTCAGACCGAACCACTGCTGGCCTAGGGCTCCAGGATCCAGCCATAAGTGATTTCAAGAACATCATGGCTAGCCTGAGCCTCTTGTGGGCCCAATCCAGGCAAAACTTATGAGAACAGAGGGATGTGCAGTGCTCACCCTATACCCTTGTTCTTCAGGATGGGTTGGTATGCCTGGGCTTCCCATGCCTTTAGCTTTACCAGAGGGAAAGAGGAAGGGGGCGAGCTAATCCTATTCCCTGTGATATCCCAATTGATCCTGGCTGTCCACCTTAACATCCTATGAACAGAAAATCCCAATCCAACTAGAGCAACTGTAGATTATTTGAACATCTTTACACCTAAAATGCACATTTAGATGGCTGTCTAAAGGACTACAAGAAGTGGCTAAAACAAAATTAAGTTCCACCAAGATCAAGATCCTTACCTCCGGCATGTCTAGGCGTGGCTGGCTGATAGCCAATTCATAGATGGCCCTTGCTCTGTCAATATCGCCAAGGATTGTCTCTAATTCTGCAAACTTAATCCAGGAGGTACAATTTTCAGGTCCAAATTCCAGGAACTTTTCATAAAGCTTCCGGCATCTGTCAAATTCTCGAAGCTGCAACTCCAATTCTATGTAACCTTTAAATAACTTGTTCTTTGGACATTTGCCTATGGCTGTTCCCTGGAAAATAAAATGGCCAGGCCACTGTGATGTCTTAGTGAGGTCAAGAGGCACTGTCACTGTCTGTGTCCTAGGACAGAGCCTGTTCTCTGCTGAGGACACACCCTGCAGGGCACCATTTTGTCACCTGCAGCATGGATCACACTGTTGGCCTGGACAAAAGACCCCAGGAAACCTCTTTCATTCATGTAGCCAACAAGAGACCCAGGCTCACTGCTGTGTGCCAGCAAGAGGCAATGCTCCAGATTTATTTCAACTTGATCAGATTCCTTAGGAAACATGAAATCTCTAGGATTTCACATATGAAAAAACCCTCTTTAAATTAAAAGCTAACGAAAGAGCAGAACTGACTTTCTGCCAGAGCCCTGAGGTGAGAGTGGCTTGTGTGAAGAAAACTAGAGTATTTAACCCCACTCAAATTTGTTGAAGTTATCAAGAGAAAAGTGTGTCTCATATACCACCATTTTTGCACAAGATCATATTTGTCTGAGGAAGGATCTTGTAACAGTTGTAGACATTTTCAGGGCCAGTAGAACATTTATTTGCCCCAGATAATTGAAATGATTTAAGCATTGCTATCCAGCGTCTTTGCAAGGGCTCCTATTCTAACATGTCCTTGGCTATAAAAACAAATGTCTGTTCATTTTTCTTTGAAACAGGGTCTCACTATGTAGTTCATACTGACCTTGTACTATGTAACCCAAGTTGGCCTTGAACTCACGATGATCCTTCTGCCTCAGCCTCCCAAGCGCTGGGATTACAGGTGTGTACCACCATGACATGACTGGCTTATCGTTTTTTCAAGTAGGAATTACAGATTTGCAGGCACTAAGATTCTAATTTCCTTCTCATAGAATTTAATGAGGCATCTTGATCTTTACTTACCAAAGCTCGTCTGGCAAATGGTAAATTTTTCTGTCTTATTTCAAACTGTGCATAATACAACCACATTTTGGCAAATGTGAACTAGAAAACAAAACCACAGAGAGACTGAAATTACTGTATGTCACAACACAGCAGCCTCTCCTTAGACCAGGCCCTGTTTTATGGGCTCCCTTAGGCAGGCAGAGCCCATCCTGCCTGTGTCCTAGGAAGGTAGGCTGGGGACATGTCTACAACAGGAAACATTTCCTTTCTCATGATAGGAAACATGACAGTGCTGATATCTCAACCATCCCAGAAAGGGCACACATTCATCTATGCATGCAACACTCTACTACCTGCAAACCTCACCCTGTGTGTCCACCCACACCATGCATCATGGTGCCTTTCTCCTTCCACTCTGTCCATTCAACTTTCCCCACTCTGAATCTCTACAGGATCATCTCTATTACATGCTCTTTTCCAAGATAAGGAGCACATCTCATTCTTATGTTGTCCGTGGTGCCAAGGACAGGGAAATAGTCAATAAATACTGTCACTTCCAAGTATCAAAAGGGAATTTTGGCTGGGTGAGACTCAACACTTTCAAACATGCATACCTTTTTGTGTGGAATTAGTTCCAAAGTGGCTCGATAAACCTGTCTTGTCCTTTCCGGATCCTGTATCAGGTTAAGAAAATTTCACAAAATATTGAAGTCTGTTGCTAAGACTAATTCTATTACTTACTAATTTTATGTAAAAAAATGTATACTCTCTACATTCAATAAGTTTGCTCTAGTTGCTACTGTCAAACTCTGATTCCATTTACAGTCACAAGTGTGAACTGCCTTTGGCCATCAAACTTTGCTTTAAGAAGCTTGAATGCTCCTTAGCAGAAAGGCTTTTTGCTTGATAGAAACAAAGATGTTTTATAGCCTCACATCAAGAAGAGGAGGTGATCTTTACCTGTCAGCCAATTTCTGAAAATGCCACTTAATTTTTTACTGAAAGCAAAAACATAGAATATATCAGTGGTCCTCATTTGTGAAAATACCCACGAAACCGTATGTAATTAAGGAAAGGTCGGTTCACTGATCCCTATCAAATTCCAGATGGCATCTTGTGCCTCAAGGTTTAAATAACAAAATACACCAAAAACCCCTCACTTTTACTCAGAACAGGCACAGAGAGTCTAAATTATCACAGAGAGGCCTATATGAATTTACAACTCAATGGCTTTGCTTTCCAGGGATTCTAACTAGCACCTGCCACCCTCAAGAGGGGAGCTGAATCCAAGCGGTGCAGCGTCTCACCTTTGCCTCCAGCTCCTCGTAGAGGGCATAGTTGATCCACAGGTAGATGTAGCGCTTCCAGTGCCGCTTTTCCGGGATGGGCGGTACATTAGCAATCGCTCTCTCATAGACTTCACGCACAGTCTCTGCTTCGGCATCACTTTCCACCAAGCGCAAGTAATCAAACCATGCGTCGTAATTGTGTGGATTAGCCTGAAGACAAGCAGCTCACTGGTGAAATGAAACCAAAAGCTCCACTCCCAGCCAAGTGAGCCAAAAGGAGGACCAGAGTCTCTTTCCAGTTAGTAATTTGTTCCCTAGCTTTTACTCATTATCTCACTTTAAAAACATCACACTCCTGAGACTATAAACAGAATAAAAAAAGGAACACAGCACTGGGTAGGAGTCCCTCAAAAAAGCCCCTCTTTCTAGAGCCAGGACTCCTAAGACTCAATGATGATAGACACCTATCTTAATATTAATGCATCTGTTTATTTAAGTGATATATGTTTATAATAAAATGATTGGAATTAGACCATGCTCACAAATGTGAATCCTGCTTTTCCAGCTGGTAGTGTTTTTAAGCATATATCATTTACCACCTTATTTAGCATCAATTTTAGTCCTGTGCTTGGAGATACCTAAATTCATCTGGTAAGCAAGAGTTTTGCTTTAATAGAACAGTGAGAGAAAACTGCAATCAGAAGTTCATTACAGCTAAATCTGGGAATGGGACCAGAGCTAGCATGCATCTCTCATCCTGCAGTTAGGCAGAGGTTTGGGATCAACCCTTACTCCTCTGCCCCACCTTCTTCCAGAACTGAGCTCAGAGCCACACTGCTTTTTTTCCGCCTTTCCATGGTGTGCAGTCAACAAGCATACTGAGTGGCAAAGCACATCCAAGTAGGTCCTGGGTTGTGGTGCCTTCTTCAGCACCTGAAGGAGCTGCCAGTCTGCCGCAACCTGCTGTTCTGCCCACTCTGGCCATGGCCTGCAGGGATCACAATCCCGAGGAGCCAGCCCCTTCCCCTGCACTCACCTTCACTTCCTCCTCATACTGGAACCTCCGCTTGCTCACGATGATGTCTTCAATGCCCCGCCTGTCGCCAAACTTCTTCTCAAAGATGGTGTAGTTTTTAAAAAGTTCTTGGGCCTCATGTTTTGGGATTCTATCCAGGGCGTACTTATAGATGACTCGCACCCTTTCGAACTAAAAGCAGATATCACGGTTATATCCATGACACAGTATGCTGTCACAGCCTGGAGAATGACTGCACCATAAACATGACCTCGAAGCCAGATGCTGAGGCAATGAGATGAGACTTTTCTGTCAGGAAGGGCTACACTATCCCTGAGCTCCTCACTCAATGCTGCCTGCTTAACACTGCCAACTGGAGGTTTGGGGCAAAGCTCTTAGTATCACCCAGTGGATCTTCTCCCCACAGAGCCAGGGCCTTTCCAGGCTTCCTGGTTTGAGGAGACACTAGTGGTCACACATGGGTTCACACCAAATTCAGGGACTTCTCTGCTTCCTCTGCTCCCCTCCCTCTTCACTCTTGCAACTCTTTTAACACAGCCCTATCTTCCCCACCCTTGCCAACCATTTTTATTTTATGAAAAAACAAAATTTCATAACCAAATAATTATCTTCAAACTATCATTATCTTCAAAGCAGTTACTCAGTCATTATAAGATATAACCCAAAAAGATTCTGACAAAAAAGAAACTAACACACAATACAAATTTTCTTTTCAACCAACTAAAATAAACTAGTACTATAAGTGAAACAAGTTAGCATGTATACTGAAATATTTCTAAGTTGGACCATTTTAATAGGCTCCCCCAGGTCTTGCTTGGTTCTACCTTTACTGCCTCCCCTGCCAACATATTCTCCAGGGGTTCTTTAAAATGTAAAGCGTATCTAATCATACTCCCTCTCTAAGGTCTGAAGGGTTAATTTTCAAACAAAGACAATAAAGTTACAGTTATAACATTCTGCACCACTCAGCTTCTCTGCATTTCTGCCATAGACATATGCTGTTTCCTCTAAGGAATTATGTTTCTATAAGAATAGTGAGTAAGAGAAAATGGAAAACAACTCATTGCACACTCAGTGTCACCTTTTAAGTTGTTCTGTAATGTCATCAAGTTCTTGACTTACTTCTTTCTGATTTTCTTCAAATCGGGCAAAGGCGACATAAAGGTGTTCATCCATGTGTTCATCTCCGAAGAATTCCACCGCTCTCTCATACACTTTCCGGGCATGGGCAAAATAAGCATGTTTCTCTTCAAAGCGGGCATACTTGATCCAGTTCTTCACGTCAGGGTGCACAAGGACAAAGCGCTCATAGATGGTGCGGGCCCGCTCCACCTCCTTGTACCTCAGCTCAAAGTTGATGTAGGAGTGCCAGGCCTGCTCCTCGGGCTGCCACTCCATCCAGCGCTCGAACACCTGCCGGGCGCCAGGGACATTGCCCAGCATCTCCTCCATGTATGTGTACTTGTACCTGTAATCGGGCCATCCAAAAACAGCAGTCAGGGTGACTTGGGGAAAAAGAGATCTTTTGGAATCTCTAGTCCTTCCTTTGTTAAACGGGAGAAAGATGAGTTTTATTTTGCCTAACCTTAATTCAAACACATTTTCTTATTTAAACATAAACCTGAAAAATGATGCACCACTGGAGAAAAATGGGTATTTTTTTCTAAAAAACTGCATAGTCCAACATGAAATTTCTTATGCACAAAAGATTATATATAGTTTTTTTAGCTTTATGCACAAAGTTTGAGCTTTTATTACTTATTAAACATTAAGATTATGACTTGACAGAGCTGCCATCCTCCAGTGGCCGGAAGGTAGCCTGGGCCAGATCCACCACAGGAAGTAGAGTCACGCCCTCTACCGCCTGGAGCCGCCATGCTCCAGCATCAGGAAGGTAGCCATGCAGGTGCCCCTGAACCCCCATAACTCCCCTTACCTCCCCTCCTACCCCCAACCCCCCCCACGCACTCTCAGACCTCCTGATTGTGCCAGTCTTTGGACCCACTCTGCAGAGGCAGAGGTGGTCATCAAGGGTATTTTTCTGAGTTCCCAACTGTGAACACCTCTAAAGAAAGGGCGTGGGAAACCTGTAGTAGAATGGTGTGGAGTTCAACCATTCAGAAGGTTGGGGAACTCAATCTGGGCCTTACAGGCCAAGGTCAGTATGCATCATGGGGTTCAGCCATTAGCTAACTGAGACCAGGGGTCTTGCATCCTCACTCTGTCTGAGCCATTAAATGGTAATATACTATATTGAAAAGTTTGTTCACTGCAGACATGTTCTGGACTGCTTCTTGATTTCAATTTAATTCAAATGGTTTAAGGGTGATAGACTAGTGACTACCACAGGTGGTCACTTTCCAAGTTGTGCTTGATCTTAATGTGTTGCTGATTGTATCAGTTGGGATAAAGCACTGCGGTTGATTTGATGAGCTGTTTTCTCTGATGTTATGAAGATGAGAATGTCTGTGGATCGTTAGAGACCCAGAAGCTAGGGCACAACTATATCAGGAAGATTTGGGTGATAACCCAGAGACTAAAACAAGGACAGCCCGACAACAAAAATAAAAATGAGAAAACACTTAAGCAAGACACAAAGACACACTTCCAGTTCACCAATGGCAAACAGTAGGGCAAATGAGGATGAAAAGGCCGATAGTGAACCACCAGGACACCCTGAACTCAAAGCACAGGAAGTAACCAAACAGATCAATCAGGCTGTAGAAAAATTCAAAACAGAAATAATTTCTCAGATATCCACAGAGATAGTGAGCAAAATGGAAGTCGTGATTCGAAACTCTAGAGCAGAAACTGACAAAAAAGTAGATGAGCTCAGGACCACAACTGAAGCCATGAAGGCCCAGCATAAGAAAGAAATGGAAAAAATAAATGCCCAACATAGGAAAGAAATGGAATCCATAAAACATATTCAAACAGACACCCAGGAGATTAAACACTCCATTGAAAGTGTACACAACAGAATAAAAGAATGCGAAGATAGACTCTCAGATATGGAAGACAAGATTGCAGTCAGTGACCATGAAAAGAGAGGTCTCTTAAAAACAGTAGGGGATCATGAGAAATCGATCCAACAATTCCTAGATGATGCAAAGAAGAATAACATAAGACTGATAGGAATCCACGAAGTAGCAGGAGGAAATACAAATGACTTAAAAAAGCTGTTTGCAGAATTAATGACAGAAAACTTCCCAAACAGAGGGGAAGAATTTGACATTCAGATAACTGAGGCATATAGGACCCCAAACTACCCACAATCAAAAAAAATCTACACCTAGACATATAATAATCAAGATCCCAGAAACCCAACAGAAAAACAAAATACTACAAGCGGTAAGAGAAAAGAAACAAATCACATGCAAAGGAAAGCCCCCA